TGAATGGCGAGAAGGCAGGAAATGCTTCTGCCATCATTCTGCTGTTTTAGAATTTTCCTTTAGCAGGCAGTCCCCTGGTGACACATATACCCTGAGTCCTTTCCTCTGCTGGATTCTTTCTCAAGTCACACATTCATTTCTACTGAGTTTGTCCCACTGCCACTCATCTCTTCCACATGCTTCCCTCCGCTCAGATTTCTTTGTCCGGGGTCTGAGTCTCTGAATCCTCTCTAGTGGGAGAAGTGACAACCCAATAGAATGGGAATCTCAGATACACATCCCCAGGAGGCAGAAGCACTCATGAAATGGGCAGAACTGATTGCACCCCTCAGATATCCACATCCACCTCCCCTGCAGACACTATTCCCTGTGTGTTACTAGTGCTGTTAACCAAATGTTTGCTTCTCCTTCCAGGCACATGGGAGCATCGCACCTACTGCGCTTCCTCGCCACCTTGTGACTTGCTTTGGCCAGTGAAATGAGAGCAGAAATGATGTGAATTGCTTCCAGGCAAACACTTCGGAAATTAGTGCTTGATTTGCCCCATCCTCATTTCCTGCCTTCAGGGTCGAGGAGGCAACATGTCCAGTTGTAGTTGCCCGTGTCCCCGAGTAGCTATGGGAAACGGAGCTCCTATTGACCCCAGTGGACAGATTTCATGATTGAGAAATAAACGTTTATGTCAAACACTGAGACGTGGGGATTGTTTGTTATTATAGCGAAACCTAACAGGTCCTGTTACATCCGGTCAAATCAAGGTTTGGGGGGAGGTGTACCAAGGCCTTTATCCCTGTTGGGTATTCAGCAGCCTGAGTCTCAGAGTCCATCAAAGTTCCCACCCTCCTGCCCAGCCCCCTTAGGTTAGAAGGTTAGAAGATTTCCAGGTTATTTCATCTTTTTCCTATTATGGTGGGGGCCTCGCATTCTCCTTGCAAGTTACATAGTCTATTTGATTCAGCCTAAATTCAAAATGAAGTCACAGAAATAAAACACGAAAGCATTTGCTGAGCTACTCAAAAACATAGTCTAGATACCCTACACGTGTCACACTAACCAGTGCATGTCCAAAAGGAATCCACTGATGAATCTCCCTTCTCCCAGGAGCAAAAGGCCAGCTTCTGTCCCGTATCAGCCCTGGCCCTGATAGGAGAATCACAGAGGTCCCGGATTGTAGGCCCAATTGTGCCACCTGGTAGTGAATGACCTCGGACAAATTACCTCTCTGAGCCCCAGTTCCTTTATCTGTAAAATGGTGATAATAAGAAAAGCTGTGTCACAGAAAGAAAAGGAAAGTAACACTTGCCCTTGGTGTATTAGCCACTACGCAGACCGAATGATAATGTATGTGGAAGTGCTTTGCAAAGGGAAAGCTCTATGCGAACAGTAGCTGATAACGTTTTAAACCAATACATGATCAAAGAAGAAACACGTCCCCAAATAAACCTCCCAATGCCTTCAATCTTGAACACAAGCCCAGGCGTGGACCTGGCTGTCTATTTACATTTCTGCAAAAGGTTCCATAGGACAAAGCTCCTTCTTCAAACAGGACAAATTGCTTATTAGCTAAAGAGAAGGAGCAGGGTCAAGCATCTCAGAGGTGAGGGACGCATGATCATTTGCAGGTTCCGCAAACAAGCAGCAGTGCTGATTCCACGAAGTGACTTCCAGAAGAACCACGCGGGCACATCCAACTCAACTTCCTGTGCTCTTTCGCCGGGTGCTGAAGCCACCGCAGTTCCTCCGTGGAGCTGGAGGTCCTCATTATTTCCCAGCCCCACCTCCATCCCCAAGCAGGGCAACGCCCCCTGCCCACCCTGCAGAGCCTGCAGCCCACTGGGCTTGTTTCCTTCGCGACGGGATTTCCCTTTCTAACCCTTGGGGCAGCTGCGGCAGCCAGGTCCTGACCTCATCGGAGCCCTGGCCTAAAAAGGCTCAGTCTTCGGTTGCTGGGGGGTGGCGCCCCACCGCTGCTTAATAAAGGGAGCCTCTCTCGGTCTCCCTCCTCTAAGCGCCTCGGGCCTGATCCCGGCCGCCGCCGGGGTGCTGAACTGGCTTCTTCTCAACCGCTGGCTTCCACGAGTCCAGTGCTTCTGCAACTTCGGCGGGCATCTCCCGAAGGGCTTGTTAAAACACAGCGCGGGGCCCCACCTCCAGTTTCTGCTCGAGTAGGTTTAGGGTGGGGCCTGAGAGCTGGCATTTCTAACAAGTTCCCAGGTGCTGGTGACGCTGCGTCTGGGGACCACGGTTAGCGAACCACTCACTGCCTCTAGCTTAATGCGGCCGCGGGACAGAGAGGCTCGGCGCCGTCCCAGCTGCTCTGCCGCCCTGAGTGCGAGGAAGGAGTAAGCCGGCAGCGCGCGAGGCTGCAGAGCCCAGAAGGCCGGCTGGAAAAAACCCCTTGGAGGCCTGTGGGTCTTCCGTGTCACTGGGATATGTCATTAATCAGGTTCTACTGACCTCGTTTCTTCATTCAACACATATTGACCCAGCGCTAGGTCTAGGGTTACAAAGGTGGAAAGACGAGGTCCCAGCCCTCCAGGAGCTCATAGTAACTGGGAGGGAAATGTGCAAACAATTACAATGCTGATAAGATAACTGTGGCAAAGGGAGGGAGCTTCAAACTTCTGGGGTAGGGGTGGGGGTGGGTGGGGCTCTGGAATCCCAGGAGCTGGAAGAAGTTTCGCAGGAGAACTGGCATTTATGCGGAGACTTGCAGGATGAGTGGAAATTTGGCAAGTAGAAGGAGTAGCTGGAAGGGGGTTGGTGGTGAGGGGCGAAGGGGTTTCCCTAGGCACAGGAAATGAGCAAATGAGACTGTCCAAGTGCAGGGTTCCAGAGGGAGAAGCCTCTGGGAAAGCACAGGCAGGTGTCGGTCTGGGCCCGGTTTCCCTCCCACCTCTCGGGTGGCTTCTTCTCAGTCTCTCTGGGTGGCCCCTTGTCAGCCGCTGTTCGTTGGGAGCTGGCGTTCCCTGGGGCTCTGTCCTGGCTGCCTTCTCCTCTCACGCTCCGTGTCCACTACCCGTGAGCCCCTCCACATCTGAGGCCTCACTTACACGGTGCTCAGCAATGGGGCCCGCGGGTGTGTTTCCAGCCCAGGCCCCATCCCTCAGCTCCACACGGACGCCTCCAGGTATCTCTCCTCCCGTACTCTGTCTTGGCGAATGGCACCAGCATCCACCTAGCTAGCTAAGCCAGGGGGTTTTGTGAAACAACCCCCTCATAGATAGCTGGTGGAGAGTACTTTGGCAGGAAATTGCTCAGAATACGGGAGGAAAGATGCCAGGCTCAGATTCTGAACCTACCATTTACTAGCTGGGTGACCTTGGGCTAGTTACTTAATCTCTCTGTTTCTTTATCTGTAAAATGAGTTTCATGATAGTACCTAGTTCACAAGGTTGTTCTATGGATGAGACAGTAACTGTTCTCATTTATTATGCCCTATGAAGAAAAAAAAGAAGTAACTGATTTCAAGTAGCGCTGTCCAGAGAGCAGTAGGCCAAGTACTTGGATTCTCTCAGAGATGGTGAGTACCTTGTCCAAGGTCACTCTGCTAGCAAATGACACAGCCGGGTCTAGAACCCAGAATTTGCTGTCCCTAAGCCACCTGCTTCGCCCCATTGTCACGCTATCTGGAGATTGTGTAACAAATAGGGAAATGCTTATGGTATAATGATAAATGAAAAGAAGGCAAGCAAATTGCGTAATCAGAGTGTGTACAGCCATGTTATTTAAAAACAAGGAACTAATCTACAAATAGAAAAGGCTAGAAGGAAATATACACATGGTTAAATGTGGTTGTATTTGGGTGATGTTTGTCTTCGAATTCTCTATATGTTCTACATTTTCTTTTATATAATTTTTATTAAAATAAAATTACTTAAAACATTAAACATTTATTACATTGACAACAATTTCAAGTCCACAACCTGTTCTCATATTTGGTTGAAAATTACACTAAGTATCTCTTCTCAGTTCTAGACTTACTTCCCCGAACAGAAACTCTTTAGTCCTCTCACACACCAAGGTAGGAAGTAAGTATTGCAGCCATGTTCCCCACCCGCCCGCGGCTGACAACCTGGCCACTGGCGCACGCTGTCAAAAAAAAGGCCTGCGAGGAGGGAAGTTCCAGGCAGAACCCCGGCTTCTCCTGCCGCCTAGGGCTTTCTGGACAGCGCTACTTGAGATCAGTTACTTTTTTTGTTTCTTCTAAATAGCCGGCCGAATGCTCTTTTTCCAGTTCTGGCTGAGTTGTTAGCTTCAGCCGGGCGGGGATGCCTGCCAGGTACCTGGCTCCCCGAGCACCGCCCAAACTGGTCAGGCCAGTCCGCCCCAAGGTTGTTTCTGCCAGGACTTGCCCGCGCGCGAGCGTGTGTGTGTGTGTGTGTGTGTGTGTGTGTGTTAGAGACCCACCCTTCTCCCCAGCAACCCAGGTAGGTGGAAGGCAGCTGCGGACAGCAGCCTGGCAGTCAGGCCAGATGGGTGGAGCTGAATTAATCTAACCTGGAATTTCAACTTGGCCTGCACAACAGGTGAGGGGAAAAAAAAGCAGCAGAGAGAACGGGCAGTTTGGCAACTTGGAAATATTCTTGTGCCTTGCTCCTTGTCCTCTGTCTGGAAAATAGCCCAGGGTGACTTTTCAAAGTGTGTGCACCCGCTAATGGGGCTTGGTTGCGCCACGGCCCCGTCGGAGGTTCTCTGAGCCCCTCCTGAACGCTGTCCTCCTCCGTTACCCTCCGCGACGCGCCCGTTCCCCCTCCTCTGGGAGGCAGGGCGGGGGTATCGGATTAGTCTTTGTTTTCGACGCGAAAGAGCCGAGCGCGGCGCGGGGGAGGCTCGCGATGGCAGGGCCCTGGGGTCCGCCTGAGTACGGCGCTCGGCCGTGACCCCTGCGAGGGTGCCCCGCAGCCGGCCCGCAGCCTCTGTCCCCGGGTAACCCCTCCTTGCCGGCCAGGCTGACTCGGTACGCAAACGCGCGATGTCCCCCATTGTCCTGCCTCGGAATGAGCGAGCGGCAGCCGGGAGAGGGGGGTCAGTCAGGCCCGGAGCTCAGTGCTCCCGGGGGCTCCGGGGCCGTCCCAGGCCGCTCGGGCCCGCAGGGAGCGGCAGGAAGTGGGGACACCGGGGCCGGCTCGGCCGAGGGCCTAGGCTGGGAGGTCCGCGTGCCCCACCCCGCGCGGCCCGCCTCGCCCGCACGGGCTGCAGAAGCGCCGGAGGGCGGGCGCCGCTAGCCCGAAGGGGGCAGCCGGGTCCTGGGAGGGCCGACGCGGGGGCG